TCAATTATTCGTTTATTTTTAAATTAATTTCAAATTAAAATTAGTAAACATACTTTATTGACTTAGTCAAATGTTGACCAAGTAAGCGTCATGTTTCCTAATTTTAAGTCCAACATGTTAGGAAGAATCTAACTCTTGATCTTTGTTTCTTAACTTGGGTTACGTAGCATTTATGTGCTCTGTTCTGTGACCTATCTATCCTTAGATAGAATCTCTCGGGCATCTCTCAACCTAATAATAATGTTCTCCCATATTTCCACAACATTATAGCTATTAATAAGAAAGAAGCTATACTTGAGAAAATTTTATAATCACCCTATCTTAGTATGTTTTGACCACATGTTCGAATTATTCCAAGCAGAAACTTGAGCACGAGCAAGTTAACAGGACACATAGCTATTTCATTCTCCAGCTTACGGAGCTAGAGTCCCTGTAAGTATATAGTGACTTAATTAGGACAACATCTTCGGTCTAAGAATTTCACCATATCAAAATATTGTTTTCACTGTTTCAGGGATTTGTCAGATAATAACTTATCCGGAACAATACCAGAATTTCTAGCTAAATTGCCGAAGTTGAAATCCTGTAAGTTGGTATAGGATTTGCGACTACTAATAGTCCATGTGTACCATGATAACTTGTAAATCACCTAATCAGTGATTCAACAATGACTTTCTTGCAGTAATTTGAGAGGCAACAAGCTTACTGGTTCAATTCCAAATACTTTAAAGGAGAAGTCAGATTTGGAAATGAGGTTCTCTTTTTTAATCTACCATAGTTACTCAGCTTTAAGATCCTTTAATTTTTTTTTTTTAAATTGAACTAAAATCAGTTCATCAATATTAATTTAATATCATAGAATTGTTAGTGTTTCAATGATGGTAGGGAAAATTTTATTTCGTTTTAAGGTAACTGGACAAGATTAATAATTATTTGACAACATAATCATCAGTAAAATTGACAAGTCTATGATAATACTAATTGACTATTATTTGATTATCTTTCAGTTTGGATGGTAACCCTGATCTTTGCTTGACGGATCGATGCAAAAAACACAAGTTCGCTATTCCCCTAATACCCTCTGTCTCTGCTTTGATTGTTGTAATCTTGGTTTTGCTTGGAACATGGATCTTTAGGATAAGAAGACTGAAAGGTTTGCACAAGATTATGTGAACTATCTTTCATGTTGGAATCCACTAATTCCATTTGATATGCTAAAGAAAACATCTGAATGCCAAGGTCCACATTTTTAACACTATTGATATATCTTTTTGCAGGGGATTTTACTGGGCATGAATCATCAAAATTAAGAAGTAAAGCATTTCTTACTCCAACGTTCTTGAGATCACTAATAACTTACAGAACTTAATTGGAGAAGGAGGATTTGGAAAGGTTTATTGAGGCACTCTTAAGAATGATACTCAAGTTGCAGTAAAATTACTTTCTCAATCATCAGTGCAAGGTCATAGAGAATTTGATCAGAGGTTAGTTCAATTTATATTCCTGTTTTATGACACAATTGTTAGAAAAATATTTGTTCACTATTATCTGATTCGCATAGAGTTGATAAAGTTACATCTAAGTTATAGGTAGAACTCTTGATGGTTGTTCATCATAGACACTTGGTCTCTGATTGGGATATTGCAAAGAAACTGGTGCGAGGGCATTAATTTATGAGTATATGGCTAATGGTGACCCCGCCAACATTTGTCGGGTATGAAATCTTGCTTCAAATTAAAAAGCAAGACTAGATATTTTCTATGCACAACACGGTATTAATTGATTGAGCAACATTTGAAGGTATATATAGAAGAAATCTCATTATACTATTTTATATATAGGTAACAACAGACATGCTTTGAAATGGGAAGAACAGGTTCAAATTGCACTAGATGCAGCATGTGGTAAGCAAAACTATCCATACATTAACCTTTTTGAGTTACATGATTGAATTTTCAATTCGTATATATGGAAATTATAAAGTTTTGTTTTGATCTAATTCTGCCCACATAATTTGTTTGGTTATGCAATGAATGAAATTGCAGGATTAGAATATTTGCATGATGGTTGTAAGCCAGCAATAGTACATAGAGACTTGAAGACTACTAACATTTTGTTAGATGAAAATATGGAAGCTAAGATTGCTGATTTTGGATTGTCTAGAGCTTTTGCAAATGATATTGATAGCCATGTCTCAACTCGTCCAGCTGGGACAGTTGGTTATCTTGATCCCGAGTAAGCACTTCATTAATAATATATATATATATATATATATATATATTCTTCAGCTAAGAATCCCATCAAATTAGTTTTAAGGTTTGCGTGCGTTCAAGAAAATCAAGGCAATACAGAGAGAATTTGTAAAGAACATTATTTGGATTGGAAGACTAATCAAGCTCATTTTGTTTTTGATGTACAAATAAACTAAACTAATTCTGTTGAAATCTTCTGTTTCCATAATTTGGATGTTAAATTTTTACAGGTTTCAAAGTTCTGGCAACCTTACAAAAGGAAGTGATATTTATAGTTTTGGAATAATTCTGCTAGAGCTAATCACTGGACAACCAGCAGCGAAAAGGCAACCAAACAATACCTTCACTTTCCTGCTTCAATGGGTTACCCCTAAAGTTAAAAACGAGAATATCAAGTCCATTATTGACTCAAGGGTCCAAGGAAAATATAGTGTTGATTCGGCTGGGAAATTCCTACAGGTAGCCATGTCATGCACTGCACCAACTGCAAGTCAAAGGCCTGATATAAGTCAAGTAGTTTATGAACTAAGGGGATGTTTGGAATTGGAGATGAGCAAGGAAGTGACCAGCGACCAACCCACCAATTCAAGCAGTTCCATGAGTACGAGTGCTTTGCAATTTGATTCAGACTTCAGTATATTGTCTGGAAGATAGATACTTGTTTACCTTTTAAATTTTATCTTCCCAATGTGATGGAATATGCCAAACACTACCGCAAAAGGATTGAATAAATTGTTTTCTGCATTTAGGCGTCTTATGTGTTGAAAAATATAGGTCTTAATTGGTTGCATGGATATGCACGTAGATGGAATGTATATAAATGTATTGGTGAGATCGAAAACTTGTGCCATTAATTTGAGTACCCAATAAAGGGGAGAGTGTGTGTTTGTGTAAATATAGACTGCTGAATAAGGAAAATAAGTAAATAGTAGGAAGAAAAGCATCATAAAGTTATTCTAATTTAGTCTTTTCACTACTTTTAGTCCCTTGAGAGCGGTACCTTGAACATTGTCACATTCAGTCTTTTCCAATTTATATCAAATTTTCTTTGTTAATCTCTTATTTTCCCTGCTCTCTCCTATGTAAAAGGTATATTTGAGGGGGAAAGTTAGTCTCTCTGTTCTTTAATAAAAATCAATTAGTTGAATCACGTTGGTAAAAGAGTTGGTTAAAATTAGCCAGATGAGTTAGTAGTGTAATTTTATTATTTTGATTTGATAATTGAATTAACTTCTTAACTATTTTTTTGAAAGACAATTCTGCAGTGATTAATCTTATTAAGTCAAACATATCAGTAAAAAAAAATTAAAAATCTGATAAGAAACCAACAGTCGACTCGAAGCAAGTTTTTACACTCAAAAGATGAGACTTAATAATTAAATTATAAATAAACTTATCTAGCATATGGGCCTGCTGTTGATTCAATACCCAGTGAGTTCAGAGAGCCCATATCCAATGAATTGTTGGGATTTCTTCTGCTGCTCTCTGTCTCTGATCTTTCACGAGTATGGGTCTGTTGTTGGTTCAAGTTTAAACAGATCTTCAGCTCACTTAATACTTCACTAATGTCAGGCCTTTGGATCGCTTTAGGTGGAACGCAGCCCATAGCAGTCTCTATAAATTTCCAAGCTGAACTTGTATTATATTCTCCTTGTAACCTTGGATCAACTATAGATTTAATATCTCCATTCTTAAGTTTACGATTAACCCAATGAAGCAAGTGACCTTGTTTTCAAGTGATGCCTCTTCTTTTATAGGACGTTGCCCTGTGATCAGCTCCAGCAAAATTACCCCAAAACTGTAGACATCACTCTTTTTGTTCAACTTTCCAGTTCTTTGAAATCTACAGATAAAATAAGGGGTCAAAAGTTCAATCCTCGTTATCTCATTCTTAACCATTATATGAAATTTACTTAGAGGATAGGTGACTAGATTTTATCTGCAATTGACTATCATGATATTAAATTGAATGAAACTTTGAAACTATGCTACTTACTCGGGATCAAGATAGCCAAATGTGCCTGCTGGTATGGTTGATATATGAGCGTCATTTTCATTTATGAAAGGTCTACAGAGTCCAAAATCAGAAATCTTGCCTTGCATCTTTTTATTCAACAAAATATTGGAAGTCTTCAAGTCTCTATGAACTACTGGTGGCCTAATACCGTTATGCAATAGTCCAATCCTGATTTCCATTAAGCACCACACACACCTTTATCTGATTAGAGATGATTGATGAGAAGACAGGGAAAATATAGAAGCCATGAAGAAGAGTGAGGATTCACATACCAAGTGCAACATCCACAGCAATTTGAAGTCTTTCTGACCACTTCAAGACATTTGGATTTCTACCTGCTGAGTTCAGAAAACAAAGCATACATTACTATCAAACCAAGTCTTCAGGGAAAGCTTCCATCTCTTACAATATCACACTTCCAAACCAGAACATTTTTCTTGAGTTCATTCAAAATAAAGAAAGAAAGCATCTTTATCAACATAAATAATTTTCAAGCCACGTAATCTGATGCATTTCTCTTATCAAGAAAGCCCAAACAAAGGTTTTTTGTCTTTTAATCACTAAATAACTAACCTGACAATAGCCCTTGCAGATTCCCCTGGTCCATATATTCATAGATCAATGCTTTCACGTCACCTTCGTCACAATACCCCACAAAAGAAACCAGGTTTTTATGGTGAACGATAGTCAACAAATTTACCTGCAGTTGGAAGTTAACTTTATGCATTTAGGGAAAACGTTGAAAATTCTCAAGCGTTTGCCCGATAGACAAAAATACGAAGGAAAGGGAAAATCTGATAGAATGAACTCCTTTTAAGGTTTGTGATCGTCACGTCAAACCTCCGAGTGAAACTCCCTATCCCCTTGCCTTGATGTCTGAGAAAGTAGCTTGACAGCAACATCTCTACCATCTTGCATAGTACCAAGGTAAACTTCTCCAAATCCTCCTTTTCCAATTTTAGTTTTGAAGTTATTGGTAATTCTATTAACATCCCTTAAAGAAAATACGTATTTGTCTGATTTCTCTTGCCAATCTTTCTTAGATACTGCAAACATCACAGCGGCAATGTAAGTAATTATGGTCATACCATTCACGATATTTCTCCATATATATATATATATATATATATTTGAGCTTTCAAAATGGAAATGTCGACCCTTAATCTTGTCTCTTTCTTTTCCTCAGTGAACTCTTAAGAAATTGAAACTGTAATGACTACATCCCAGCACAAACAGGACATTAAGTTGTAAGGCCAAGTTTAAAAAAATGCAGTTCTTTGGTAAATTATATTTCTTTTGATATTGAATTCAATCATGTTAAATGAATGGACTACAAGCTCACAGAGAAATGATTGAAACAAAATAATGGTTACAGCAGGGACTGTGAAAGATTGAAAAAGAAGGAAAATATATACCTCCGTTTTTCTTTTTGATTCTCCGGATCATCAGGAAAGTAAGGACAATCATTACTAGAACTGCCACGGATGCTGCAATAGATGCAATTAATGGAACAAGATTCTTCTTTGTCTTGCATGATCTGGCCAGACAAAGACCTGGATTTCTTTCCAATCTAGCCAAGAAAAGGGGGAAAAAAATTTAAAGTGTCAAACGTCATCGCCTAATTAGGTTAGTGATTGGGACATCAGAAACCGCAATTTGGCATCGATATCCCATAATGGAAACTACACTGGCCAAGACAGCTAATTCCAGGAAGAAACTGTTTGATTGTATTAGAATTACTTAAAAGAAAATAAACAAACCTTAATGACAAAGTGGTATTTGACTTAAGCAACAGTGATTTGGGGATTGAACCTGTGAGCTGATTCCCTGTCAAATTACTGCACAGACTTGTGATGCACATGCAGGAAGGAAATGGTTAAGGAAGTTACTGTGGGAATGGTAAAAGATGTTAACTTACAGGAATTTCAAATTTGATAGCTGTGCAAGAAATTCTGGTACTTCTCCAGTCAGTTTGTTGTATGATAAGTCCCTACATGAGATTTGTTATTTAGATGAAGGCCTGTCAGATGAACCATGAAGGCATGCGTCAAAAAAAGCACTAGAACTTACAAGGACTGTAGTTCAGAGAATCTTGAAAAGGAAACATCTATCGGCCCTGTTAGTCCCCTTGAGCTCAAGTTCCTGTCAGAATTCTAGAAGGAATGATCTTCTTGCCATTATAAACATAACTAGTCTGGTATGTATCAAGAAGCAAGAGCTGAAAATGTATTGCTATAGGAGATGGGACACAGAGATCAAGAAAATTATTAAGAAAAATATAAGCATCTCAAAGATGGGTTCCATTGAAAAATTCATCCGGCATATTCATAACTAGTTTGGTACATATATCTTTTATAAACCAGATCTATTTAAGAAATGTCCCTCCAATACTGTAGTCATTAAGATTGTGGGTCTAATTAATTAAAAGCAAAGTGATATATCATCTTTTGCTAAAAATGGTATAATTATTTCATCATATGTCATTGTATATCTAGTCATAACTTTTGGAAGCCAGTACTTTCTTTTAGAGTTTCAATGGTTATGCATCTCTTTCAATCTTAGATGCTTCAAAGAAGAGAGGAGCAGTACTCACAGTGAAATAATCCTTGGAGTGCCATCAGAGCTGCAAGTAAGCTCTTCCCAAGCAAAGTGGTTTGGAATGCATGGGTCCCCTTGCCAATTTATGATGGGGATACCATAAATATGTTTGATTTTCAGAATAGTATCAGCTGTTGTTTTCATCATTAACAACAATTTCATTACTTTCAGCAAATTTAAGCAATATGAAAGAAGAGTGCCAATGAAGGAACGACAAAAAGAATTATGTAGCTGGGTTTATGTGAATTCAGATAGAGTCAAAATTAGTTAACCATGACCCATACAACTATTGTTGAGCCTAGTAACCATCCATTTTCATCCCTGTACAAAAGGAGGCTTGTGCTATATATATGCAGAAAAAGTGACATCATTGTCCATTCAGATATACGTAAATGCAGTGAATCAGGCAATAAAAGAAAAATAAATTACCATCCTCTTGATAAGTTGCTGAATTAGTCAGGCTTAGTACTCTATAAACCTCAAAGGCATTGATCATGGCTGGCAAATCAGATTCTGGGGTGGCTTTGATCGAAATACGAAGATGGTCTGCTTGTGTGATATTCTGAACAATTGTGACGAGCTTCAGATGTTGTGTAGTAAAGGGATCTGTGAGGATGCTTTTATCATTGAAAGTAACATCCACGATCCTTTTCTGAGTTGTTACACGCTGATCAAATTCAAAGAAGTAAAGGTTGATATAATACACGTGTGAACTATCAGTATGGTTATTGAAGTAGATTTCCAAGGAAGAGTTGAGACTCAGAGACTGTATTGCAGTCTTCAATACTTGTGATGGCAGCTTGTTAGTATTTTCTATTCCATAAGAATCAATAGTTGCTGATGTGGATATTTTCTTTGAATTGCCGACTATTCTGTTAAACCACACACGATCATACACATCATCTTCAAACCTGAATGTGCGGAACAGTGTCAGAAGCAAAAATTTAAACTTTTTCACAACCTTCCTACCACCCTCACCAGTTCACTTATAATTTTGTTTTTTAAACAGATGAAAAAGGTACCTGACGAACAAGGTATCTTCAGACATGCTAAAGGTTGACCGAGTCAAGATATCCAGCGGAAACGAACTGGAGGTTCGATAAGTAGAATCAGTAAGAAGCCAGAGTTCCAAGGACGAAATGAAAGGAACCCCTTTTCCAATGTTCACAAGACACACACTTATGGTATCTGACAAAGCAAAATGAGTGACTTCAATGGGAAAATACATGTAGAGATCCCCAAACTCAATAGTGTTCCAATGATTCACGCCAAGATACACATCAAAAGAAGGTGGCGTGTGCTTCAAGTCGTAGTTTCTGTAAGCAAAGAAAGCTCTAACTAGATACTTGTTGTTTTTACCCTGTTTGGGAGTGAGGGTATAGCAGTTCCTAACTCCGTCCGGGAAGCTTCTCAATGTGTTGAGCTGCTTCGACATTTGGGGTTGATCGAAGCTGTAACCTGAGGGTAATTTGTGATTCTTGCCTGTTTCTACAAAGCCTGAATCTGTTTGGTACCAAATATTGCTGTCACTGTCAGTGTAGGCCTCCTCTGCCCCACAATCTATGCTTATGTAACCTATAAATGTTCAAGTTCAACAGAATGACCAAAACCATTAATGCGATACCAAGATTATTATAGAAAGAAGCTAAAGTAACCAGACTGAGTTATATGATCCTGGGGACTAGATTCAGTTCATTGTGGAAAATGTGAGTATACCATAAGAAAAATGGTGAAAAGTAAAATTTTTTTTTTTTTTTTACTACCTGTATCAGTAGAGGCTAACAAGCTTGGGAGTTGAAGAGGAATGAAGAAAGCAAGGAAAAGAAGCATCCATTCAGATGCAATGTTCATGTTTGACACTGCCAGTTTCGATCACCTAGACGCACATATAAATGGTATAATAGAACGGGCTCAAAGAAGAAGGAAGCTCTTTGGGGTGAAGTCCCCATTAATTTAGATTGACTTGACTCAATAAGTAGTGGTACCTCTGACCTCCTCAAATTCTCAGCTTGACAACTCACGCATCCATAGGACAAAAGAGTAAAAGTCACTCTATAATATAAAATCCTAATAATATAATGCCATTTATGTACAAAACTCACTCTACAACATTGATTATTGGAATAATTCATATTTTATTGAATCCGCTCCAGACAGTTACGAGTATTATGTAAGAAAAAACTTTTAGTTTGTTAATCATCTCAGAGTATCTCCTATTATCATTAAGTTTGTAGATTTTGATTAGATTAAAGTTGTATATTCATATCTTTATTTCTTCTCAGTTGTATTTAATCCATCAAAATATAAGAAATTCTTTTCTCGCTCTCTTCTTCTAACTTTCTCTCTTGTTCTATTTCGCTTTATTATTTCACAGCCAACAAAAATGATTTTTCCCCCTATAAAAATTGCCCCCTTTTTTCATCACTCATCTTTCAGACTTTCACACACATTTATGATGCTTACCAACAAGTCATCCGCAAATAATTTCTCATTGAGAATCTCAAATCTCAAGTAGTGCTGTTGCAAGACTAATTATTTGGTGCTAATCGACATTTGCTTGCATGTTTAATTATAATTATAATTGAGTAAAATGTCAACTCATATGAGGTTAGTAGGTGGGCAGGGAATAATAGTAATATAATTACATGTTGGCGTTTAAAATATTAGAATATATAGGAAGGTGAGAAAGGTCGATTAAAAAAAATTGTTTCAGATAAATTAATTGAATTCTTGGCACAATTAGTTGCCAACTCAGAATTAAGTTGGCATCAATTTAATTTGGTGTTATTAAAGCAGTTGGTAAGGCGCTCGATCAAGTTGAATTTTTTTTTTTTAACATCCTGTATTAATATTGCTAAGCAATATGTCCAAAAACCTGCCTCCTCGCCTGGGCAAAAAATTAAGAGAAATATCTCACTCTCTGTTCGTAATCAACTTCGTATGTTCAATAATATCTTCAGAAGTCTCTATTGATCATCACCTTCCCTAAACAAAATTGATTTAGCATTTTGAACTTCATGTGGTTTGAAAGAAAATTAAGCGCAGGGGATTAGTCTACCATGAAGCCAAAAATGCCATTACATACTGAGAACCAACAAAAAAACAAACTGTCTATTGTCCACTGTGCAACACACTCAAGACTTCATAATTGGAAATTCTAAACAAGCTTATCTAGCATGTGGGCCTAATGATGAATCAATCTGAAAAGGATTCAAAGAACTTGTTTCCAGTGAATTATTCCTGGACCTTCTCATGCTGCTCTCTGATCTTTCATGGCTTATTTCTGAAGCCAAACAGTCCTTTAGCTCAGTCAACACTTCACTTATGTCAGGCCTTTGGATTGCAGTAGGTTGGGCGCAGGACATGGCAATTTCTACAAGTTTCCATGCTGAACTTCTATTGTACTGTCCTTCTAACCTTGGATCAACTATGGAGTCAATATCTCCATTAAGTTTAGGATTAACCCAATCAAGTAATTGTATCTTGATTCCAAGTGATTCTGGTTTCATTGCAGGTTGTCCAGTGATTAGCTCAAGCAGAATTATCCCAAAGCTGTAAACATCACTCTTTCTATTCAAATTTCCAGAGCTTCGAAATCTACATATGAAATAAGAGTCAATAGTCCGATCTTTATTTTCTTCATTTCATATGAAATTTACCAAGAGGATAGGCGAATCTATGCTTTGAGCTCCATCTTTAGCACTAGGTAAATGGTTGAAAGCACTGGGATTCTAACTAAAGTCTCAAAACTTTGTTTCTATATATGTGTGTGTGGGTGTGGGTGTCATGCTGCTGCAGTTTATTAAGCCACAAAATGATGAGACTCCTGCAGAGATTTCATGTATAAAACAAGATCCTTGGTAAAAATTTGTAATCTACATGCTTACTCGGGATCAAGATAACCCAGTGTGCCAGCTGGTCTAGTTGATATATGACTATCATGTTCATTTTCAAAAGATCTACACAGTCCGAAGTCAGAAATTTTACTTGCATGTTCTCATCCAACAAAATATTGGAGGTCTTCAAGTCTCTGTGAACTATGGGAGGCTTGATACCATAATGCAAATACTCCAATCCTGCATTTCCATCAAGACACCCATACACCTTTAGTATGTTAGTATAGAGATGATTAGTGAGAAGACTAGGAAAATAGAAGCCATTAACAGAAAGTACATGTGAGGTTTCGCATACCAAATGCAACATCCAGGGCAATTTGAAGTCTATCAAACCACTTCAAAACAGTTGTATTTTCATCTGCAGAGTGCAGAAAACAAAGTATATGTAAATCAAACCACGTCTTCAACAAAAACTTACATCCCTTATTATATATTATCTCCAGTCCTTAATATAAGAGCTGGATAACTAATTTAGGAATATTAAGAAAATTAGTTAAGTTGGTTATTTGTCACAAATGTGTGTTGATCTCCCTAAACTATCCTCTTTCAATCATTTCCATTACATGATTAGAATTGTCCCTTGGTGGGAGCTCCTTGCAATCAATAGGGATATTTCGACAAAAGATGAGAGGTAAAATATATTGAAATCTTATATTTAGGACCAAATTTAACTTCCCAACTAGCTCTTATATTAAGGATTGGAGGTAGTAATTTATTTCTCTTCCAAATCAAAATACTTTTCTTAAATCCTTTTCAAAGAAAAAAAAAGGAAATCAGGCATCTACATTGGCATAAAAAATAATCTTCAACAGGTAACATCAAGAATTTCTCTTCAACATAGCAAAGTAGAAAGCTTATACGAAGTTCTTGTCTTTTGGTGACAACATAAACTAACCTGACAACAGCTGTTGCAGATTCCCCTTTGCCATATATTCATAAATCAATGCTTTCACATCACCTTCTTCACAGTACCCCATAAAAGAAACCAAGTTTTTATGATGAACGAAAGTCAACAAATCTACCTGCCGTTTGAAGTTTAACATCATGAATTTAAGGAAGATGCTGAAAATTCTGAAGTCTTTGTTTTCTAAACAAAACTATGGGGACAAAGAAAAAGGGATAAACGAAAATTGCCTCAGGCATATGATTGTGGCATCAAACCTCTGAGTGAAACTCCCTGTATCCTTGCCTTGATGTCTGAGAAAGTAACTTCACTGCAACTTCTTTACCATCTTGCACTGTGCCAAGGTAAACTTCTCCAAACCCACCTTTCCCAATAACAGTTTTGAAGTTACTGGTAATTCTAGTAACCTCTCTCAGAGAAAATACTTGTTTCTTTGAATTCTCCCGCCCCTCTTTCTTAAATGCTATAAACATCACATTCACAGAAGCAATGTAAATAACCATAACCACACAGTTCACAATATTTCTTCAAAAAAAAAAAAACGGATACGTAGATTCTTAAGTCTTGTCTCTTTCTTTTCCCTTATAAAATCCGGAAAAGCTGATAGACAATTGGAACTGTAATGACTATATCCCAGCATAGATGGAACATTAATTTGTGAAACAAGTTCAAAGGCTACAATGAGAAGAGAAAGAAAACTCTGTTCTATGATAAATAGGATTTCTTTTGATATTGAATCAAGCTTGTTTAATGAAGGTGGACTATAAGGAATACCAGTTCATAAAACCATGATATAAAAAAAATTATTGCCTCAAACACTGCCAAAGATATAAGAAGCAGGAAATTACCTCCTTGCTTCTTCCTTTTGATTCTCATGTTCATCAGATAAATAAGGACGGTCATTATTAAAACCGCTATGGATGCTGCTATACATGCAATGAGGAGGGTAGCATGCTTCTTTGTTCCACATGATTCAGCCAGACAAAGGCCCGGATTTCCTTCCAAACTAGCCCAAAATAAATACACAGCTTAATATGCAAGAGTGTCAAATACCATTAAGTAATTAGACTAATAATTTAAACCTCAGAAACCATAATTTGGCATTGGTATCAAATAATGGAGCTACATCACGGCAAGACTACTCATGTTTATAAGATCAAACGACAAGTCAAATGTAGGAAAAGAAACGCCAAAATTTGGACAAGAAACTTCTTGGTTATAGTAGATTTACTTAAAGAAGAGAAAGAAACCTCAAAGACAAAGAGGCTTCGGACTTCAGCCTTAGTGGCTTGGGGATTGAACCTGTGAGCTGATTCCCTGTTAAATTACTGTAGAGACTTTATGATAAATATGGTGGAAGGACATGGCTGAGGAAATTACGATGGGAATGCTAAATGATCTTAACTTACAGGACTTTCAAATCTGGTAACTGTGCAAAATATTCAGGCACTTCTCCTGTCAGGTTGTTATATGATAAATCCCTGCATAAAAGTTATCATTTAGATAAGCAGAGTGAAAACTTTGCAAGTTGATAGCCTCTGAAGCCTCGTGGATATAAAGAAAAATGAGGATTTACAAGGTATGTGTCAAAAGACACTAAAACTTACAAGGACCTCAGTTTAATGAATTTTGAAAATGAATCATCTATCCTCCCTGTTTGTCCCCTTGAACTCAAGTTCCTGCTTGAATTGCAGAATGAATCATTTTCTTGCGATTATTAAACATACGAATAAGAGAAAAGCAGAAGCTGAAATGTATTGCAACACGAGATATTGTATATTGTTCAAAAATGATGGACAGATCTAGAAAATTATTAATAAAAATATAAGCATATCAAAGATGAGTTCTACTGGAAAATTCATCCAGCTTGTACACATGCCAATTCATAATTGGTTTGGTAGATATATCTAAGAACTTTTCCCGCAATACCATGGTCATTAAGATTGAGGATCTAATTAACAACAAAATGATACCATCATCATCATCAATAACAATAATTAGACTTATTCTAATGTGTAGGATTAGTTATAAGAATAGAACAAGGACATACG